ATTCTCAACCTCAGTCTTATACTCTCTGAACTTTTCAAGAGCTTCGGACTTGTGATGCATTAGGTAAAGATAGTCATACCTTAAATAATTATCAATAAAACTAATGAAATATTTATACCCTCTTCGAGCTTTGACATTCATTAGACCACAGAGATCTGTATGCACGAGTTCTAAGGTTTCTTTGGCTCTATAACCTTTTTCAGAAAAAGGTCATTTAGTCATTTTACCCTCAAGACAGAACTCACATGGAGGTAACGAGTTATCTTCTAACTCATTTAGAAGTCCTCTTTTAACCAATCTCCCAATCCTATTGAGATTAATGTGGCCTAGTCTTAAGTGTCAATGATAGGTATTAGGAGAAATCTTTTGTCGTTTATTTTGAATTTTAGTTGTTTTAAACATCTCGGTATTTAAAACAGCTTTTGTTTCGCTCGGGTTTAACATATAAAAGTTGTTTTCTAATTTTGTAGAACAAATATGAATACCTCATTGGAAAATAAACACTTCATTGATTTCAAAAGATACTTTATACAATTGTTCTAATAAACAAGAGATAGATATTAGATTTCTTTTCATTCCATTATCTAATATAATGAATCCATCTCTGAAAAACAACTTTAAATTTCCTACTGATCTTGCTGAGACAACTTCTTCTGTTCTAACCCTAAGTGTTATCTCGCCTTCTGCAAACACTCTCCAGGAACTAGTTTCTTGAAAAAAAGAACAAATATGATTAGTGGCACCTGAATCCAGTATCTAGGTTGAGTGATCATACTCTACTAAACGTATTTCTACAACTAGTAAATCATATTTACCTTGTTGTGCCTTTTCGGCTTTCTTCTCTGCAAGGTATTTTGGGCAATGACTTTTCCCGTGCCCGTTTTTATTGCAATGGAAACATTTTCCATTATCTGCATTTTGAACCTTAAGTTTGCGGTCAATAGGAATCTTATCTTTCCCCTTACCCTTTTTGTCAAATGCAACCCAAACTATTCGGTTTGCATTTGAGCAGGGGTTTAAGGGACATTCCTCAGTTAAAACAAACCTCAAATCATCATTTGCAAGTATTGTGTTTAGGTTTGATTTCCTTGTTGCGTAATTGTTGCCGTTTAATTTCTCAGAAGCGAGTAATTGTACTATTGAGCTTGACATTCTGAGATTTAAAAAAATTCTATTAGTGAATTGACTTAATTCTTTCTAATCCAATCAGGTTTAACAAATGTAATAGTATACCCAAAAATTATTAATTTACAACGATACTTTAGTGAGTTAGAGCAATTACTACCGAGAGGCACTCAATCACTCCTTCACTAAACCAAGACATTCTTGACTTAAACACTAATCCTAGAATAACTCTTAGTAATTCTTCGTAAGTGTGACCCGCCATTTCCAGACCTCATAGATCGGCCCCAATAATGCTATCAAATTAAAAAGCCAAAGTTAGGAATGGACCTAAGAAATCCTATCAATTTCTGGAGTTTGCGTTGTTCCGACTCCCATGTTACGACCCTCCGAATGGGTAGTTGCTCTAGGGCAACATGCAGGCGGAACATGGGGATCTCACGGTGCAACCTAGTGGTGGAGACCATAGGATGTGTTGATATACTTCCTTCTCCCATTTACTATAGATACTATCTCTATTCACCTTATTATTGACTCATGCAAATACCTTCCAAATGGAGGCCGCTCCTAGGGCGACACGAGGTCGAGCATGAATCTTACGGTGTGAATTTTTCAGAGAGCGTAAAAAGAAAAAGATGTATCTCATATACCTTTTTCCTCCCACTAAGTATTTTAGACAGTTGGGTATACTTATTACTTAGTATATTCCTGCTAATTAAATATAACTTAAGTTTAGGTGATTTTTCCAAGTATAACATTTATACTTGATTTTTACCTATGATGTCTAGGTGATTTTTCATTTTTTTTTTAAAAAAAAATCCTTACATCACTCACGCATGCTCATAAAACTGGGCTAACTAAGCTCAAGTACTAACCCGATATCCAAGTAACAAGTGTTCCGTAAACCGTCAACTTAAGTACCTCCAGCATTAGACAAGATCATGCCAGGTGAGCTTTCTTGTAACTGCAGTTTTACAAGATATCGACCTATTTTAACTATTAAAATTGATCGTGCTTGGTTGTTAACCTTAAGTGAGCATGCATTTATCTTTGTTATAGATTTTAACGTCTATCTCGTTTTATGACATTGAAAATAACCTAGAACATGCTTCCAACATGCTTTATGTAACAATTATATAATCATCCATTCCATGCAATAATATAACAATTTATATCTATCACTCAGGAAACTCTAAACATACATACTATACATTATAACACGTATAACATACTTGGAATGCATGAAACATGCTTAGCCTATGGTGGGATTTTAAATCTATATGGCATACTTTATGCATATACATTTTCTATTTAATTAAAACATACATTCACAATGCATAATTAATTAAACACACTAAAGTGGATTGGTTTTGGCATTTTAAAGCAAGAAATTAACTAAATTATTACATTAATAATTAATAATAACTTGAACCGCTCCCGAGGATCAGGAGCAGGCCAAACTAACCCTTAAAAACGTTGAACCGGACCCTAACTGGCAGAAAAAAACACCCGAACTGCCTCTTCCATCTTCTTCTTCAGTTCAGCTTGCTATCTCTTCCATTTTCGATCAATTACAACCTAAAATGGACTCTAATGACTCCATAAAAATTACCTTTCTTCACCTATTAAAGCCCATACAAATTAGGCCAATTACCATAATTGAATACAATGGAAGCATAAAAAAAAATGCCAAAACCATAAACATCCACTTTAGCAACCACAAAATTTCATTCATGAAATGTTACCCACCATGCTCAAATTAATGTAAATGAAGTGCCTAAAACTTGCTCTGATACCAATTGATGGTGTTGCTATAACACGTGCGGATGAAATTTGGATCTTAGGCACTCTAAGTACATCAATTATAATAAATTAGCTTAGCATGTTCAAAAGCATTAAAACTCAATGAGTTTGAATACTAACCTTTTGTAGTTCAAATTTCTTTTTTCTCACGAACCGGTTTCGAACCACCACTAGTATCTTCCCTACTATTCTTCGGCCTTAGAACGAGATTGTGCAATCTGGTGAGTGACTAAACTTGATAGGAATTTAGTATATGTAAAGAGAGAGTTTTGAGCGATTTTCTCAAAGTTTTTCAAGCAAACTTTCCATGTACCTTAATCACTCTATTTATAGAGTCATATTTGCATGTTCATGCAAATTTGATATTACCAAATTTTGACACTCAAAATTCCACTCAAATTTGTGGGACTATGTGGCAAGCATGCAAGTTTGAGTTAACCAAATTTTGACACTCAAAATTCCACTCAAATTTGTGGGGTTTATTTGGCAAACATGCATATTTGGTTAAACCAAATTTTGACACTCAAAATTCCACTCAAATTTGTGGGATTATGTGGCAAACATGCAAGTTTGGTTAAACCATATTGACACACAATATTCCACTAACTCAAACATGGATTCTTCCATTGGGTGAAGTCAACATTTTGACTTTTTTTATTTTAATTCAACAATTAATTTAAATAATTAATTTCAAATCAAAATAATAATAATTGATTAATTAGACAATTTAATTAAAATTTAACATTAAATAAAATGTCAATCTCAATGAATTCCGGCACATTGATTATGAATCCCTATTCATAATTAAAATATTTAAATCTTATTTAAAAATCTTCAATTCTCTCTTTTTGTTTAATTCATAATTAAAACAAAATGCGGTTAAATATATCGTATATATTTAGCGTATATTCCCTAATTTAAATTCGAACACTTCGAACTCACTCGTGACACTGTTCTAAGGTTCAGTCTGATATGAGTTAGCAGGGGGACCTAATGGACCTACAGATCATGGGCTCCACTATAGCCTAATAGTTGCACTCCCCTCACTATAGATATATTTTTGTCCATTTGATATAACCATGATTAATAAGTCGATCCTTCACAGGTTGTTTGTAACTAGAGCTGGGTCAATTTACCGTTTTACCCCTAAAGTTACTTCTTGTTCCTTGAGTCCCACCGATCATCTAATGAACAATTAGTTTGTGGTCCAACCACCAAACCAAATCCCTCTCGGACCAATGAGAGGGTGGGGCCCCTTGTTCAAGACTTGGAGTCAGTACTTGAGGGAACAACCTCTCTACTATCCCTAAAAGCGGGTAGGAGTAAATTCCATCTTACACTCTATGTCCCCAGCTATTCACCCAGTCTTACCCCTGAAATGGGAGGCTTATTGAGTCGGTGAACTCGGGCCACTCTCGCCCATGCAAATCTAAGGATAATTCCAAATAAACAAGAGTTCATAGTTAGCCTAGGATTAAGATCGAGTTACCTAGGTCATCGAATGAAAAAATTAGTCTCAACAATAAACGACATTATAAAGTGAGAGTGGTTTTCTTCATGGTCCGATCTTATGCAATACTCATTGCATAGGACGCCCCCACTCACATGTACAATTTAGTGATCACATTGTTTATATCATATTACAAAAGTGGGCCGCATCCATAGTGTCCCTAGAAGAAGGTACTCAACCTTATCCCTCTACTATAGATCATTTTGACTATATACTTGAACTTGATCCACTCTGATGTATCTACATATCGTTCAAGTAATCATACTATAGCCCGAGTGTTCTTAGTTTATTGGATTTAGATTAATCATCGTAACTTTCACTTTATTCCATACTATAGCCCGAGTGTTCTTAGTTTATTGGATTTAGATTAATCATCCTAACTTTCACTGTAACGCAAAAAAAAAAAAAAAAAAAAAAAAAAAAAAAGGGCAAAGTCAACTGAGGGGCAAAAATGTCATTTTGCCCCTCCAACCCAAATAGGGGTCCAAGGAGAATCCAGCCAGATTGCCTGCAAAAGAAAGAAGAGGTTAGAGAGAGGTTGGCCGGGAAGATTAACGGACCACCACCGGAATCCATCTCCAGACGAGACTCGTACCAGGATTGAGGGGCTATCAAGGCCTACGCACCATCAAAGCCTAAGAACATTTCGCGGGGTAAGGTTTCTGAACGATATTGCTCAGATCTGAGTTTTCCCCTACGTGAATCGACCCTAAAATGTTGAAATCTTCACCTAGGAACAACTCACGCACGGTCTGTGAAGAAGTTTGGCCGAGACCTCAACCCAAAGGTAGAGAACCGAGGGTCATCCGAGAACGGTGAGCGAACTTCCGGCGTTCTTAAATCCTCCGATAGTCAAGAAAAAAATTATAAAAAGAATACTAGGACGTAGCCTGTAACACGATCTAGAACGTTGCCGAAGGAATCATATTGATCCGATCTACGGATCGAAAGATATGAAAATCGGAAAATAAAAACCGACTGGGTTTCGGTTTCCAGAGGACAGAGAAAAAAAAAAAAAA